TAAAATGAGGTGTAAGAAAAAAATCCCTAGATTTATTACAAAAAGAAATGGTGATAACCCTGAGAAAAACAATTTTGGAGGAGTGCTGAAACTGAAGACTTCTGGTGTGAAGCCAAGAGTGAACGAATGGAAAGGAGCGAATGGAAAGAGCGAATGGAAAGAGCGAATGGAAAGAGCGAATGGAAAGAGTGAATGGAAAGAGCGAATGGAAAGAGTGAATGGAAAGTGTGAATGAATGGAAAGAGTGAATGGAAAGATTGAATGGAAAGAGCGAATGGAAAGAGTGAATGGAACAGACAGTTCTTTGAAGGATATCATACGTAGGAGTCATGACTATGAATGATGTAATTTTCTTCCACAGTCATGGAATAGTGATAGATAAGAAATAGAATTTTTCAAATTTTACATAAATAGTGCAGTTTTCAAATTTTATGTAACAATTATGTATTTTAAAGGTTTTAAAAATTATACAATATGGCATTTTAAAATACCAGATTGAGGTATTAAATTCTTAAAATTATAGAACTAAAAGACCCCTTGAACATTTGTAGATTACATAAGCTGATTATCATTTTGCTCATGCTTGTAAAGACTAAGGAATACTAAAAGTTACAAGGGGATTATTTCTTGCTTGACAAAAATCAGCTAATTCTAAGACTGTTGATACTCATCAAATATACAAAATAACTGATCACAGTAAAATACTGAGTTCTATTAACAGGAGTAAAATAGAAAACATGCAGGAAATAATCTTCTTTTATAAGTGAAATTTTAACAATTATATGAGGTATAATTATATGAGTTATATAAATGAAAAAATTACATGAAGTCACTGTTAAAAAATACTCAACAATCCTGCAAGATCTGCACATGTACCCCAGAACTTTACATGCAATTTAAAAATATAACATAAATAAAAGTTAAAAAATATATATGGTGAGTAGAATACTGTAATATATTTTTTTTTCAAAGGAAGGGTAATGTCTCGCATCTAGGGCACTTTTATAAATAAGATGCACTGCAGGCCAATATCCATGATGAACATAGATGCAAAAATCTTCAATAAAATATTGGCAAGCCGATTGCAACAGCAAATCAAAAAACGTATTCACCATGATCAAGTAGGATTCATCCTGGGGATGCAAGGCTGGTTCAACATACGCAAGTCTATCAACGTAATTCACCACATAAACAGAACCAAAAACAAAAACCACATGATTATCTCAATTGATGCAGAGAAGGCATTTGACAAAATTCAACAGCCTGTTATGCTAAAAACCCTCAATAAACTCGGTATCGATGGAACGTATCTCAAAGTAACAAAAGCTATTTACGACAAACCAACAGCCAATATCATTCTGAATGGGCAAGAACTGGAAGCATTCCCTTTGAAATCTGGCACTAGACAAGGATGCCCTCTTTCACCACTCCTATTCAATATAGTTCTGGAAGTTCTAGCCAGAGCAATCAGGCAAGAAAAAGAAATAAAGGGTATTCAAATAGGAAAAGTGGAAGCCAAATTGTCTCTATTTGCAGACGACATGATAGTATACCTAGAAGACCCCATCACCTCAGCCCCAAAACTCCTGAAACTGATAAGCAACTTCAGCAAAGTCTCAGGATATAAAATCAATGTGCAAAAATCACAAGCATTCGTCTACACCAATAACAGACTTAAAGAAAGCCAAATCAAGAACGAACTGCCATTCACAATTGCTACAAAAAGAATAAAATACCTTGGAATACAACTCACAAGGAACGTAAGGGACCTCTTCAAGGAGAACTACAAACCACTGCTCAATGAAATCAGAGAGGACACAAACAGATGGAGAAACATTCCATGTTCATGGTTAGGAAGAATTAATATCGTGAAAATGGCTATACTGCCCAAAGTAATGTACAGAATCAACGCTATCCCCATCAAGCTACCATTGACTTTCTTCACAGAACTGGAAAAAACCACCATGAACTTCATATGGAACCAAAAGAGAGCCCGCATAGCCAAGTCAATTCTAAGCAAAAAGAACACAGCGGGGGGCATCACACTACCGGATTTCAAACTATACTACAAGGCTACAGTAATCAAAACAGCATGGTACTGGTACCAAAACAGAGATATAGACCAATGGAACAAAACAGAGGCACCGGAGGCAACACAACATATCTACAACTATACAATCTTTGATAAACCTGACAAAAACCAGCAATGGGGAAAGGATTCCCTGTTTAACCAATGGTGTTGGGAAAACTGGCTAGCCATGTGCACAAAGCAGAAACTGGACCCCTTCCTGACACCTTACACTAAAATTAACTCCAGATGGATTAAAGACTTAAACATAAGACCTGGCACCATAAAAACCCTAGAAGGAAATCTAGGCAAAAGTATTCAGGACATAGGAGTAGGCAAGGACTTCATGAACAAAACACCAAAAGCATTGGCAACAAAAGCCAAAATAGACAAATGGGACCTCATGAAACTCCACAGCTTCTGCATGGCAAAAGAAACAGTCACTAGAGTGGATCGGCAACTAACAGAATGGGAAAAAATTTTTGCAGTTTACCCATCTGACAAAGGGCTGATATCCAGAATTTACAAAGAACTCAAACGGATTTACAGGAAAAAAACAAACAAGCCCATTCAAAAGTGGGCAAAGGATATGAACAGACACTTTACGAAAGAAGACATATATGAGGCCAACAATCATATGAAAAAATGCTCACCGTCACTGGTCATCAGAGAGATGCAAATCAAAACCACATTGAGATACCATCTCACGCCAGTTAGAATGGCGATCATTAAAAAATCTGGAGACAACAGATGCTGGAGAGGGTGTGGAGAAAAAGGAATACTTTTACACTGTTGGTGAGAGTGTAAATTAGTTCAACCATTGTGGAAGACAGTGTGGCGATTCCTCAAGGCCTTAGAAATAGAAATTCCATTTGACCCAGCAATCCCATTACTGGGTATATATCCAAAGGACTATAAATCGTTCTACTATAAGGACACATGTACACGAATGTTCATTGCAGCACTGTTTACAATAGCAAAGACCTGGAATCAACCCAAATGCCCATTGATAATAGACTGGATTGGAAAAATGTGGCACATATACACCATGGAATATTATGCAGCAATCAGAAATGATGAGTTTGTGTCGTTTGTAGGGACATGGATGAATCTGGAGAACGTCATCCTCAGCAAACTGACACAACAACAGAAAATGAAACACCGCATATTCTCACTCATAGGCGGGTGATGAAAAATGAGAACACATGGACACAGAAAGGGGAGTACTAAACACTGGGGTCTATTGGGGGGAAAAGGGGAGGGCCAGTGGGAGGGGGAGGTGGGGAGGGATAGCCTGGGGAGAAATGCCAAATTTGGGTGAAGGGGAGAAGGAAAGAAAAGCACACTGCCATGTGTGTTCCTACACAACTGTCTTACATGCTCTGCTCATGTACCCCAAAACCTAAAATCCAATAAAAAATTTAAAAAAATATATATATATATAAACAATAAAAAAAAGGATGCACTGCATTAGCAGCACCTTCCTTTTAGCACAGGGGTCAGCAAATTAACACGTGTGAGCCAAATCCAGCCCACTGCCTATTTTGTAAGTAAAGTATCTTGAAACAAAGCCATGCTTATTCACTTGATAATCCATAGAGTCAATTAGCTGGGTGTGATGCTACACAGCTGTGGTCCCAGCTAATAGAGAGGCTGAGGTGGGAGGATCACTAGAGCCCAGGAAGTCAAGGCTGCAGTGAGTCACAATCATGCAACTGCATTCCAGCCTGGGTAAGAGTGAGACCGTGTCTCAAGAAAATAAATACATACAGTCCACAAAACCTAAAATATTTACTAACTGGCTATTTGCAGAAAAAGCTGGCAAAGATCCTTTTATGTATTTTAACAAGTTTTATCCAATATATTCAAGTGTTTATATGAAGTATAGATCCCCATGCACAATCCCTTGGCAATATTCAAATTGAGGTCCACTATTTCAGCACTCAGGCACCAACAGCAAAAATGTAATAACTAGCAATCTTGTGGCTAAAAAGGTACAGTGTCAATGTAGCATGTAGCTTCCACTTGCGACACAGCAGATATTACAAGAATTCTAACAAAATTATCTTAAGATGTGTCATCAAACTAAATGCTTTAAATACATGTTAATTGTGAAATAATCCATATATTCTAGATCTAACCACAGTTTTAAAAATGGTTGCATACCATATTCTTTTCTCAGTATGAAAATTTAGGTATTTCCTATTGTTAAGGATTTAAACTAGCTCCAACTTTTTGATGTAATAATGCTACAGTAAATGTCCTTATACATATGTAACATATATATACAAATATCCTTACTATATGTGTGTGTGTAAATATGCTACTAAATTAACACTCAAAATATATTTACCAACAGTGTAAGAAAATGTCTTTTTCAATGAGACCATTTCCTTTGCAGCAACGCAGATGGAGCTGGAGGCCATTATCCTAAGCAAACTAAGGCAGGAACACAAAATAAAATGCCACATGTTCTTACCCACTAGTGGGGCTAAGCAATGAGAACTCATGGACTCAAAGAGAACACAGACACTGAGCCTACTTGAGAGTGGACGGTGGCAGGAGGGAGAGAACCGAAAAGCTACCTGTTAAGTATTTTGCTTATGAAGTGGCTGAGGAAATAATCTCCATAATACATATTACTTATATAACGAACCTGCACATGTACCCATGAAGCTAAAATAAAAGTTCACTAAAAGGAAAAGGAAATGACTTTTCCCTCACATTTGCCAATACTGGTTATGTTTCAAATAAATTAATGAGTGGGAAAAAACGATAACTCATTGTTTGCTGACTTTCATTTTTCTGATTACCAGACAAATGTTAATATTCTAGTAAAAGTATAAAATTTGTTCATCATGAATATTATCCCAAATTAGGGTTAGTTTGATAGCACATAGTTATCTCCTATTAAATGTTGCCATAGGCTTGCCTGTGATACTCTTCATTCTCTGTGCTGGAAGACTGCTGATTTTCAGGTTTTCTGCTCCTTCTTCATTGAATTAAGCCATAATCACCACAGCCAGGAGCGACACCATTAGTCAGGTTTTCTGGTGATTCCACATGATTACTTCGATGCTTCTGCATTTCTTCTTCAGCCTTGAGTGGAAGTTTGATATTAAAAATGGTTATTGCTTTATTGAATTCAAAGAACCTTTTTGTTTTAATTATTTTATCACTAGACTCAGTTTGTCATTATTTTAGTAATTAAAAATATTTCACACTTAAATTTGATCGTATATACAGAACTGTTACCATATAATTTTAAGATGTAATTATTATATCATTAGTATGTCATTGAAATTTTTGTAGTTTGCTTTATTTCTGTTTGAATGAATAAAACAATTTTCTAAAATTCCAAAAAGGGTCCTCCTTCATTTTGTGCTTTTATTCCCAACCACTCTTCAGAATATAATATAAACAAACATTCATCCCATTTGACTTGTGGAAACACACAAATAAAAAGACAAAGATGCAAAATGTCTTCTTCTGTCTTTACCACCTGGATTTTCCATTAAACAGTCAGGTTTAGAGAATGAGACATTGACCTCAGGGTCAGGAATAGAAGAGATTTCCCTTTTCTGCACTAAGATATACTTCTCCCTGACTGCCTTTGATCATTCTTTTTCCATTTGGTTCCTGGATATCAAAAACACGAAGGTGCTCACTGAAACATGGGAACCAACGTTTGCCACAACACAAGGATCGGAGTGAAACTGCTGAGGTGCTGTCGAGGAATTCCAGAAAATGAGATGCTCCCCAGATTTCCCATTCAATAGCCATAAAATTTTCTAGCTGGAGGATATGCAGAAAAAGAAATTATCTTTTTTAGCCACGTTATCTGTTGATAATCACGCTAAAACCAAGAAAGATAAAAGTGGTTGAGCCGAAGCTCCTCAAGTGGCATCACCTAGCATTTTACAGCACCATTCAGGATTATTCCACCACGACGAAGAGGATCTCCAGGGTTTGTCTCTCTTTAAAACTCAATGTACAGAACTCAGCTTTTTGAGTTAAATGCCAAATTTTTCACTGATGATTTATGCTGCTACGTGATAGAATCATACATGCCTAAACTTACTACACTTTGTTAAACCACATAACGTAAAAATCTAATTTAACAGAAACATTTAAATATAAAGTTGTACCTCTCTCTCACAATCCTTATTTATGTCTGGTTCTTGAGACATTTTCTGCAGATGCAAAAATAGAAGATTAATTTGCTTGTTGTATTTCTCAGAGCTCTGCTTTTTTGGAGTGCATGTTTTTAAAATAATTTTATTCTTAAGTAATCAAGTATGGACAATAAAAAATTGGAAAATAATTAAAATTTACCTATTAGAATAATTAAATAAAAATTAAATAATTAAAATTAAGAATTAACTTTTTTTATTTTTTTGAGATGGAGTTTTGCTCTTATTACCCAGGCTGGAGTGCAATGGCACGATCTCGGCTCACCACAACCTCCGCCTCCTGGGTTCAAACAAATCTCCTGCCTCAGCCTCCCGAGTAGCTGGGATTACAGGCACGTGCCATCATGCCCAGCTAATTTTTTGTATTTTTAGTAGAGACGGGTTTTCACCATGTTGACCAGGATGTTCTCGATCTCTTGACCTCGTGATTCACCCACCTTGGCCTCCCAAAGTGCTGGGATTATAGGCGTGAGCCACCGCACCCGGCCAAGAATTAACTTTTTAATCTATGTTTAGCTACTGCCACATCACTGGCTTCTGACTAACTCATGAAAAATAACACACCTTAGCCAAAGGGAAAAGACAAACATGAACCAGCAAACTTAACTTTGTCACCATTTGTTTGATTAAACTTAATTCTTTATGTGTTAAGTCTACCAAAAATAAATTAGCAAATGATTTGTAATGTTGCAAAGGCTTCCTCACTTGAAAAAATTTTACTTCACCATACCCTAACTAGTGAGCCCCTACTGTGCATTTAAGTCCTTTTCTAAACGATTACAAGCTGGAGTGTAGGCACATTTTAAATTATTAGGAGCTGAAATTCACACCAAACAGAAAGAAATGCAAATTTTTACATTTTAATTGAAATTATACACTGGAATATGATAGTGTTATGTATCTAGACTGCCTGTTTAAATCCAGTTCTAATATATTCTGAATGACAGTGGATAAAAATGTTTAAATAAGACTGATTTTCTGAAACTTAAGTAAGTTAGAATGTTATTCTGTTTGTACATTAACACAAAAGGTCCCATTCTTCAAGATATACTCCTTGTTACCAGGCAGTTGGGTTGCTTTTAGACCTGGTTCTCTCTTTGAACAGAAACCCTGAGGTCAGTGAGAGGCAGAATGCATCTTTAACCTTGGCATCAGGGACGGACAGGATCAAACTGCAGGTTCTCAGTCACTGGCCATGATTACTCCTTTACCACGCATCCAGCTCAGGGACCATCACTGTTACACTGTTCATAGTTTCAATTGCTTAATAATATTATCCAATAATTGATGTTACTTTCTTTATCATGTTAGAGTGTTTGTTAACAAAGTTCTGGATTTTTTTTTTTGGTCTCTATTCCAAAGAGAAAGATTAGCTATAAACTAATCAAGAAGGCAAATACGAATTTATTTATTTATTTATTTTTTGTTTGAGATGGAGTTTCGCTCTTGTTTCCTGGGCTGGAGTGCAATGATGCAATCTTGGCTTACCACAACCTCCGCCTCCCAGGCTCCAGCCATTCTCCTGCCTCAGCCTCCTGAGTAGCTGGGATTACAGGCGCCCACCACCACGCCCAGCTAATTTTTGTAGTTTCAGTAAAGACAGGGTTTCACCATGTTGGTCAGGCTGGTCTCAAACTCTTGACCTCGTGATTTGCCCACTTCAGCCTCCCAAAGTGCTGGGATTACAGACATGAGCCACCGTGCCCAGCCCAAGAATATTTAAAATAAGAATATTCTAAAATTTATAGAGGGTTATAATGCTTAAGTTAAATATCAAATATTAGAATATATTGATTCTTCTGTTAATAAGGTTGCTAAATTTATTAAAATAAATTTTAAGCATGTACTAAAAGATTCTTCAAAAAAAGAATCGATTGATTCTCAAAGCCTAGTCTGAAAGGTAATTGGACTATCTAATATTGTTAAAGCAAAGAAAACAACATTAAACCAAAAATTTAAATTGAAAATTTGACATGCCTCTGGCTGTCTATTTTCACTTCCTTTAAGCCTTTGAGGCTCTTCCTCTGATGTCATCTTTAAGTCTTGTTCTGAAAAGAAATTCATATATTCAGTTAAAATGGACTGCTTACAACATGAAAAATTACTGCCTTTGTAAAACAGATTTAAGACATTTCATTTTGTTTCATAAATTGAGCATTTAAATGGAACTTAGTCTTTCATGAAGTAGTTACTTAAGAAATAATTCTCTAAAACATCAACAAACCACTTGGGGAGATATCAGATGTCACTAGATTGAAGACATACAAACATGTCAAACATTCACTCACAAATTCATTCACCCAACATAAATGAACAAAACCACCAGAAACACAATTTTAAAATACAGAACATAAAAGATAACACAGTATATTGTTCTCCACTTCCTAACAGTACCTTATAATTGATTTCCAAAATCACTGACACATTTATTAGTGTAGAATGTCTTCCTAATACCTAAAATGTTTCCCTCCACTATTCTGACAAGTTTTTTTTATCTTTTAAAACAACGCTATGTGAAGCCTTCCTCGATTCTGCATGTCTTTCTCCTGATTAACAGGTACCTCCTTCCTTGAGGCTGCCTTAGTACTTTACTGATTTTTCTACTGCATCTTTACCACCTGAACTGTACATTATTGTTCCATGTCTGTCCCCTCTTCTCCAGGACTGAAGGGGACAGCCTTGCAAGTCATCTTTGTATAAAGTCTTTATTTTACTCAGCAATTTTTTATTGAGTCCTGCTATACATACATACTAGGTGTTAGGGTTGAGAAACAATGAAAATAAAGCACATCAGGGTTGGCTTTTGTAGAAATCATGCACAAGCGGAGGCTTAAATATTGAGGCTAGCCAGATTAAAAGAGGTGGAGGACAGGAAAGGATGACAGCATGCCAGGAGGCAGCAAGATAGGGAGTAAGGCCTGAAAGAGTCAATGTATTTGCCTAGAATAGAAAGATGAGTGAGTAGGTCATTACCAGCCATTCAGTAATGCCAGAGAAAGGGCACACAGGGAAAATGGCTAAAGATGGACAGTAGGGCAGAAGTCAGATTATGAAAGCCTTATTGTAATTTTAAGATGCTTGGAGGCTGGGCACGGTGGCTCACACCTATAATCCCAGCACTTTGGGAGGCCGAGGCGGGTGGATCATGAGGTCAAGAGATTGAGACCATCCTGGTCAAAACGGTGAAACCCTGTTTCTACTAAAAATACAAAAAAAAATATTAGCTGGGCATGGTGGCGCACGCCTGTAGTCCCAGCTACTCGGGAGGCTGAGGCAGGAGAATTGCTTGAACCCAGGAGGCAGAGGCTGCGGTGAGCCGAGAACGCGCCATTGCACTCCAGCCTGGTTAACAAAAGTGAAACTCTGTTTCAAAAAAAAAAAAGGTGCTGGGACATTAATGTTTAAGAGTGGCCCCTGGTCCTATCTGCATTAGATATTGATCACTTTAAATGCAAAAAACCAATATTCCTAGTGAACCATTATTCATTAACACAAAGTGATGGATAGCTCATGTGGACATGGCTGAGATGATACTATGTAGAAAATTCTCAATAATTCTTATAAACACTTGGATAGTCAATTCTATAATAAAGTTATAGAAATGATAAGAAATCACTTAATATTTGAATGGTGCTTTTTAAAGCTATAGTGTATATGTATATATATGTGTGTGTGTGTGTATATGTATATATACATATGTGTGTATATATGTATATATACATATGTGTGTATATATATGTTTTATATATATACATATGAAAAACTAATAGTTGTGAATTCAGAGCCGTGAAAATAGAGCAAAGAAACCACACTGTGTTGGAGTTCAGAATCTTTAAATTCCTATCTAGTTTTCCCATCTAGTTCCTATTTTCTAAATATAATCCTGGTACTCTCAAGTTTACATTAAATACTAGCCTATACAAATACCATTCAGGACATAGGCATAGGCAAGAACTTCATAACTAAAACACCAAAAGCAATAGCAACAAAAGCCAAAATAGACAAATGGGATCTAATTAAACTTAAGAGCTTCTGCACAGCGAAAGAAACGATCATTAGAGCGAACCAGCAACCAACAGAATGGGAAAAATATTCTGCAATCTACCCAACTGACAAAGGGCTAATATCCAGAATCGACAAAGAACTTAAACAAATTTGCAAGAAAAAAGCAAACTATCCCATCAAAAAGTGGGCAAATGATATGAACAGACACTTTTCAAAAGAAGACATTTATGCAGTCGATAAATATATTTTAAAAAGCTCATCTTCAGTGGTCGTTAGAGAAGTGCAAATCAAAATCACATTGAGATACCATCTCATGCCAGTTAGAATGGTGATCATAAAAAAATCTGGAGACAAGAGATGCTGGAGAGGATGTAGAGAAATAGGAATGCTTTTACACGGTTGGTGGGAGTGTAAATTAGTTCAACCATTGTGGAAGACAGTGTGGTGATTCCTCAAGGATATAGAACTAGAAATACCATTTGACCCAGCAATCCCATTACAGGGTATATACCCAAAGGATTATAAAACATTCAATTGTAAAGACACATGCACACGTATGTTTTTTTGCGGCACTGTTTACAATAGCAAAGACTTGGAACCAACCCAAATGTCCGTCAATGATAAAAAGAAAATGTGGCACATATACATCATGGAATACTATGCAGCCGTGAAAAAGGATTCATTCATGTCCTTTGCAGGGGCATGGATGAAGCTGGAAACCATCATTCTCAGCATACTGACACAGGAACAGAAAACCAAACACTGCTTGTTCTCACTCGTAAGTGGGGGTTGAACAGTGAGAACACATGGACACAGGGAGGAGAGTATCACACGCCAGGGCCTTTCGGGAGTGGAGGGCAAGGGGAGGGATAGCAGGGAGTTGGGGGATTAGGGAGGGCTAACATTAAGAGAAATACCTAATGTATATGACAGGGGGGATGGATGCAGCAAACCACCATGGCACATATATACCTATGTAACAAACCTGCATGTTCTATATATGTACCCCAGAACTTGAAACATATATATATATATATATATATATATATATATATATATATATATATGCAGCAAGCCTATACAAAAATGCTCTTTCTCTTCCTTTTTCTGATTTATATGTCACTTTGGTTAAAGAAGAACATAAAAATCCCCTGCTAAAATGGGTTCTATTTGGTTGCAGGCTGCAAGAGGGGAAGAAACACAGAGCACGTTTTGCAAAAATAATATTTTAGAAGTCAAAACTACGGCATGAAGCCAAACAGGGCACCCTAGGACTGAATTTGCCGTACCTCTTTAAATACGTTTCTTGCTCTCTTTGTTTTCTGGCAGCTGTGACTCACACAGGTCATGCAAAGTATCATTCCCTATGAGAAATACATCTCCAATGTTCATCTTTATCTGTTAAGATCATCTGTCCCAATTCCATGGATGCTGACTGACTTTCGGTCATCGATGGTGATACACATGGACATTTATCATCAACTTTTAGGTTATTGGATCTTAGACAAGTCTTATTACTGATAGTCGAACTAGTAGGATATGAGCTATAAATGCTGATTATCCAATGACCTACTCAAAATATCCTATACAAATATCCCATTAAACATGCACAGAAAAAAAAATCTGTCATTCCTGCTGAACTGCTGCTCTTTATTCTTCCATATTCACCAGAAAACTTCCTACTCCTTCCTCATGTCCAGGTTAAATGCTAATACACAACCTGGAAACCTGTGAATCATCTGAGATTTTTCTCTGTCCCCCAAACTTTTCTCATTCAGGCATCACCAAGTCATGTTGACTATACCTCTCTTCTGCCTCTGCTTTATATTCCCACTGCTAAACATAAGCATTTACAAAATGGCTTTTATTTAAAAAAAAAAAACCGCCAACTATCAATGTTATTTCTTACATGAAAAAAAACAATTTAAGCAAAACAAATGAAAAAGGCAAAACACCAAAAAAGGCCAACATTTCAAAATGAATAACTGAGATTCTTAACTTTATTTTTTTCACCACAGATGGGTGAAAATCTTACAATACACTGATACCAGTCCAAGGATGTGTAACAAGGAAACATTAGCTGATTACTGCGAAAGCTTCCTTTGTCTCCTGCTTTCTTTACCTGGTTACCTTCCATCAATCCTCTATGAGGGGTCAAAAAACTATAGGCCACAGGCCAAATCCAGTCTGTCTTACAACTTTGTAAATAAAGTTTCATTGGCACTCAGTCATGCCTACTTGCTTACATATTATTCACGGTGGCTTTCACACTGCAACAGTAGTGTTACGTAGATTTGACAGAGACCACATAGTCTAAAATATTTCCCACATGCTCCTTCACAGAAAAGCTTGCCAACCCCTGTTTTACACCATAAGCTGAAGGGCTTACTGCTCCAATTTAATCTTGTGACTCCCCTGCTCAAATCTCTCCAATGAGTCCCTATAGCAAACACTGCTGGCTCCCTACCAGTACCCATTCCTTATTCTTTCTTGCAGAAGAAACACAGGTCATTGGGAAATTTATTATCCCAATATCCCTCCCCAGCTTCAGAAAGAGAATGATTGTTCTAAGCTAATTACATAATTACATTTGCTTTCCCAGTGTCTGGTTTGGGATGCGGTGTGGTCCAGCCAATGAAATGTTACAGGAAGTCCACTGCATGCTTCTGAGTTTTAAAAGATACATTTAAAGAAAAGCAGCCCTGGTGAGGTTGTGTTGTGAGAACAAGATGTTTGGAGTTGTTGCGAATTAGCCAACCATGAAAGGAGATACGAACAAGACACTGCCAACAGCACAGATGAAAGAGGGACACAAGGGATCCTAAAGTATCACTGAACAACCAAAACAACTCTGGTTCCTACGGTTTTAGCCACTGCTCATTAGTCTTTGCAGCCCAAAGCATTCTACCTGGTAAATTTCCCATGGCCCACAGGATAAGAGCTACTCATTTCCTTAGTATTAAAAAGTCTATCAGAAATTTGCCTTAGCTAAGTATTCACCTCATTCCCAACCTCTCACATCTCAGACTTTTCAAAATAGCAAAGTGAACTGCTCAAAAACCCTGCAAAGTTCACGCAGCGTCTTGCCTTTTGCACTTGCTGCTCTTCCTCCCAAACGGGCAGTATCATTAGGTGTTTCTTCTGCCAAACCCACAATCTTGTTACGTGTTCCTTCTGCCAAATGTCATTCTTCTGCTTCTTTAACCTAGAAAACTTCTACTCACTCTGTATCTTTACGTAAATCCTATCTACTATTTTTTAAAGCTTTCCTTTCTCATCACATATGTCTGGCACATAATCAATATAATGTATAATAAATCATAATTATAAGCTTCTAGTGGGCATCTAACACACAGTAAGCCCTGAATAAAATAGCAAAATAATAAAAACGACAATGATAATAACAAGCTCCTGTCTGTATTTGTAATTGTTTGTGTTCTGTAGGTTTACAAAAATGCTTAGTATCTAAAAGACATTTTATAGTTATTATTTGTCAAGTGGTCAAGTAAAAACATAAAAATGTTTTGTTAATTCTGTTGAAAAAGCACAGAAATGAAATAGAGACAGCTCTATTATATTATGAACTCCTTGAAGATTAAAACTACTTCTGCTCCATCTTGGTCTCCTACAACCTATAAAATCTAACTTACAGAAGCTCTTTGATAAACATAGGCTAAATTAAAGGTGGCCTCATACAGTTTGAATTATACAATGTATTAGGTGTCCACATCCAGATAGCATACTAGCATTTTTGTTATTGTGAAGCATTTTCGTATGTTTATTATCCTCTGCTGGGCCTAGAGTTGAGCAATTTGTGTATTTATTATGAAAATCTTTTGACAAATGGTAGCAGAGCACCTTGATTTAACAAAATTACCATTATCATAACAACCAGCAGGTAGAAGAAAACATCTTGTTCCAACAAAGTAAATAAATCTCTTTCAGTTTCAAATTAGGAGGAATGAGGTCAGTAATAGTGAGACCTTGTTTGTACAAGCATACGTAACATGACCTGGGCTTCGCTGTTCTTTTGTGATCAAAACTTCCTTCCTTTTACTTTTTTGTCTATGGTAGGACCACCCAGAACAGGCATCCACAACTCCCAGGCCACAGACTGGTACAAATCCATGGCCATTTTGGAACCATGCCACACAGGTGGAGGTGAGCAGCAGGCAAGCCAGGGAAGCTTCATCTGTGTTTACAACTGTGGCCCATGGCTCATCTTACCACCTGAGCCCCACCTCCTGCCAGATCAGTGACAGCATTACTCATTGGAGCATGAACCCTGTCGTGAACTGACCACGTGAGGGATCTACATTATGTGCTTCTTATGAGAATCTAATGCCTAATGACCTGTCACTGTCTCCCTTTGCCCCCAGATAGGAACATCTAGTTGCAGGAAAACAAGCTCAGAGCTTCCTTGATTCTACAATATGGTACGTTGTATCATTATTTCATTACAGATTACAATGTAATAATAATACAAATAAAGAAGCACAACAAATGTAATGTGCTTGAATAATTCTGAAACCATCTGCATTTTTCCCTAGTCAATGAAAAAATTGTCTTCCACAAAATGGGTCTCCCGTGCCAAAAAGTTGGGGACAACTGACTTAAAGTAATTCACTGACTTTACCTGGATTGCTGTTTTGAGAAGAGTTTTTTGACATCTGTTTTTCTTTGTAGTCAGAAAGTAACTGGCAAATTCTATGTATAAAAATGTGACAAATAAAATGACTATATTAATGCTGATACAAAAATTACTTTCCAAATGTAAAATTCTTAGAGTATTTCTACAATATTAGAATATCAGAACTTAACAATATTATCCCATCCACTTATGTGTACATTCTACAAACTTCTCATTCAGCTTCTAATTGAAGAGGACAAAAAGTAAGGTGAAATACTCATAAATCAAGGGCACTGTGACTCAGTAAACTAATTTGCATTAGCTGGACATAACAGAAAGTGTCCCAACTCCAAATAAGTCCTAGCTCCACAAGGAACAGCTATTTATTCTTGGAAAATTTACTTCTGTTAGGCTCAGTGTCTTCCACAAAGTGAGAACTTTGCTGCCTTTTTCACTGGATTGTGATGAAGATTAAACAAGATACCATGTTTTAAATGCTCAGAGAAATAGTAGAGACATGGAATAATCTGTTCCTAAACTCTATGACTAAAATTATCTTGGAATCCCAAATAAAACCCGATGTGTGGCCGGGCGCCATGTCTCACCCCTGTAATACTAGCACTTTGGGAGACCAAGGCAGGCAGATTACGGGGTCAAGAAATCAAGACCATCCTGGCCAACATGGCGAAACCGCGTCTCTACTAAAAATACAAAAAATTAGCTGGGCGTGGTGACACACGCCTGTAGTCTCAGCTACTCAAGAGGCTGAGGCAGGAGAATTGCTTGAACCTGGGAGGTGGAGTTTGTAGTGAGCCAAGATGGCACCACTACACTCCAGTCTGGCAACACAGCAAGACTCCAGAACAAAAAAACCCAATGTGTATTTTGTTCCAGGTCCTAAGATGCAAATGTAGTTTTCAGGGAATGTTAGTAAGTCTTCATTTTGCTTGTTAGTTGTCCTAATCTTTATAGCTTATAATTCAGGGCATCTCAACTATTTCATAGCTTGTAACTAAATTTATTCGTAAATATCTCATTAAAGTTGATAACGTGACTGTCCACTATTACAGAGTTTATCAATCACACCAAGGGCAAAAAAAATAATGGATGTCAAGATGTGGCTTGGACCAATGATCCTTCTCTACAGACTCACACTCTGAACCAGCAGATGTTTTTTAAGATGATGCTTCATATCCATGTTCATCTCCAGCTGACATGGAAGACCAAAACCCTACATTTTTTTTTAGGTTCCATGAAGAAGTTGCAATTTGACATTCTCTAATTTTCAAGATACTCACTAACAATATATTTTGTACACAATACCCCACATATTATTCAGCTCTGGTGTCATCTCACAGACCAGCTTACAGGAATATTTTTGTAGCACAAATAGCAATTTCAATATTTAGGTGGCACTCGTTTTGCTTCAATTCACACCATTTCCTTACAGCTAGTCAGCAAACAGTCAAATGACCTTCCAGTGACTAGGCAAATATGGAATGCTTCAAAAATGTGTGCAGCCTCCCTATGCAGGGCCATGCTAATTTCCTCTGTACTGTTCCCATTTTAGGATATGTGCTGCCGAAGCAAGCACAAAGCCCTACTTTTACAAATGGACAGTGATGAGTCATGGACAAGGTTTGGCTCTAAGTCCAACTAACCTACTTGAGATCCCGAGAATTCTCTTCAATGGCTTCCTGTGAGGTAGAATTTGAAAATATTTTTAAATCTTGAGGAAGAGATGTAAGCAGTTTTCATCATTATGGAAAACAGATCACTCAAGGGGCCAACCACAACTGGGTGCCCAAACTCTGAGGAAGGTTAATGTCAGACTTTCTGTTGCCTAAGGTACTATACAGGGTATAGATGCTTCAGGGTACAGATCTGGTAGCAAAGAAGAAATCAAACGCCGATCTCTTTCTGCCACATTATTTGAAGCTCTCTGATAGTTTAGAACAAGCCCAACTAATATGTGCTAGAGAAAAGACCAACCTGGAACTCAAAGGATCTCTTACCATGTAGGTGTCAGTTACATCTGTGGTAAGATGTGAGTTCCACATCAGGTTTTGAATGTCAGGGGAAGAGTCAATTTGCTCACTTCATGTGTGGATAAAGGCAGGATGCCGAGCTGCCAGAGCAGGGTGCTGGTACCTTGAGTACAATGGCTGAGCACATAAGCATAGGAATGTGAACTAAAAAACGTGGTAACTTTGAAGTCTATGTATGAAGACTTGAGGGATCTGAATCAATAAGGCCATCTTGGTGTCAAAGGTCAACCATTACCAAGCAGCAGGACCAGTTTCGGTGGCAACAATGCAGCAACAGAATCAACAGAAAAAACAGGACAATTAAAATGTCCTTTGTCTTCTCCTCCTTCTGACATGATAAAAAGGATTGTCTTCTTTGGGCTTAGTGAACCCCTTTGGTTCTTGAAAAATTCAAAGAGTACGTAGAAAATAGTCCCCAGAAGACAGTATAAGACTTCCTGCTAAACTGGACATCTCAAGACTCAAAGGACTAATCAGAAAAAATCAAAGATGTGACATTATTTTTTATCCCATGCATAGGTGTTATACTTGGAATGAAATAAACAATGTTGGGATCTCTAAGGATAAAGGTCTTAAAAGTCCCGAGATAAAGAATCCTGCACCCATTGGTTCTTCTAACTAGTCTAGCTTTTTGTTTGATTTCTAGCTGATGCAGGGGACTAACTCACTGCCACTTTAAAACTACCTTAACCAGACTATGACATCTCACCTGATATATAAGATACAATGGTTATAATTATTTTAAACCTCACTTTAGTGTTAACTAGCCTTTTAACGTGAACACTTACATGTCATGATGACCGGAAGCTGCGTAATCTTCAGCAGTCCATCCAGATGCATCTTGAGAGAATACATCAACATCTTGCTGAAGTAGAATGCTAACTATACTTGCTGATCCACAACACACAGCAAGTATGAGAGCAGTTCTAAAATGACAGAGAGAATTTCTTCCTTAGGAACTTTAGTAAAGCTATTATAAAGGCTAGTTTGATATACTTTACCAATTTAATATCTTGCCTGCCCATGCAGAATTAAACATTTACATGCACTAAAAGACGTAAGCATCTTGAGTGCCTAAGTGTTCATCTTTGTAAAATACCACCAGGGTTAAAAGGAAGGGTCAGAAAGGAAGACTCTTATCTCAGTGAGGTATTGCATAGTAGAAGTTACTAATTTAAAGGCCTTGATGAGCAAGAAACTTTGTTATGGCTGCTTATCTGAAGTGGACAAAGATTTAAGTGAAGATTTTTTTCCAGCCTCCCTAGACTGATACCCTTAATAGAAAATCAGCCAGAGGCTCAGATAAATAAGAGTATTCTGCAAAGGGCTGATATCCAGAATTTACAAACAACTCAAGCAGATTTACAGGAAAAAAACAAACAAGCCCATTCAAAAGTGGGCAAAGGATATGAACAGATACTTTACGAAAGAAGACATATATGAGGCCAACAATCATATGAAAAATGCTCATCGTCACTGGTCATCAGAGAGATGCAAATCAAAACCACATTGAGATACCATCTCACGCCAGTTAGAATGGCGATCATTAAAAAATCTGGAGACAACAGATGCTGGAGAGGATGTGGAGAAAAAGGAACACTTTTACACTGTTGGTGGGAGTGTAAATTAGTTCAACCATTGTGGAAGACAGTGTGGCGATTCCTCAAGGCCTTAGAAATAGAAATTCCATTTGACCCAGCAATCCCATTACTGGGTATATATCCAAAAGACTATAAATCGTTCTACTATAAGGACACATGTACACGAATGTTCATTGCAGCACTGTTTACAATAGCAAAGACCTGGAATCAACCCAAATGCCCATTGATAATAGACTGGATTGGAAAAATGTGGCACATATACACCATGGAATATTATGCAGCAATCAGAAATGATGAGTTCGTGTCGTTTGTAGGGACATGAATGAATCTGGAAAACATCATCCTCAGCAAACTGACACAAGAACAGAAAATGAAACACCGCATATTCTCACTCATAGGTGGGTGACGAAAAATGAGAACACATGGACACAGAAAGGGGAGTACTAAACACTGGGGTCTATTGGGGGGAAAAGGGGAGGGCCAGTGGGAGGGGGTGGTGGGGAGGGATAGCCTGGGGAGAAATGCCAAATGTGGGTGAAGGGGAGAAGAAAAGCAAAGCACACTGCCATGTGTGTACCTACGCAACTGTCTTGCATGCTCTGCTCATGTACCCCAAAACCTATAATCCAATAAAAAATTAAAAAAAAAAAAGAGTATTCTGCATGCTGAAAGCAATAGTATTAATAATAACGGTAAGAAGTGTATGGCATCAGTTAATGATGCCAATAAGCATGTCCTAGGCACTGAATTAAATGCCAGTCTTGTGTGAATCTAAAGCCTAGCTCTTTTCTCTTTATCACCCACCTACAGCTTGCCTTTATTAAAGGAAAAGTGTATCCACTTAAAACTGTCTTCACTCCCTCTCTCCATACCAATTTAAAAACATCAAAATACACTGGAAATAAAAAAGGAAAAAAGCTGATGAACCCAAAGTATGTGGGAATAGCAATTAATTGTCATGTAGGGATAAGCAAACATTAATATTCTTCAAAAAAAGGCAACTGAAAGCAGAGTCATTCAAAAGACAAAATGATTTTCAACTCCTATTTATGTTTAATATAGCATATTTAATGGAAGAGCGTATAAGAAGCAGAAGTCAAAAACTACTAGAAAGGTTTAAGAAGTTCAGTACTGAGTCATAAAGTAAACTAAAAGTTGAAGTTCACACTTCATAACACTCATAGGAACTCCCGTTAGCTAACGTAGGATCATATAACCAAAAATGTCACATAACAAGTAACATCAGTCCATATAATAAGAGAAGATGAATCCTACTGAAACTGTTCTTTATGTGAACTAAAAAAAGTGGTAACTTTAAAGTCATTGTATGGATCGCCATGTGACTGCTTATCCCAGTCCAAATAACTGCTTTTCCCCTTAACTCATTGATGTTGATACTCATCACTACGTCCCAACAAGTAGAAGTGAATCTTATTAATTTACTACTTACGACTTGAGTGACGATCACTCTAAAACACACAGATTAAAGTAATTAACTATACCTTCCAAATCTATCAAGTGCATTTAAATTAGCTTTTTTCTTGATTAAAAATTTCACCATTTGCTCTTTTTGTCCATGTACACCCAGCAAAAGTGGTGTCAGGCCACTCTGTAAAACAATATAAAGCAAAAACAATATGTAATTCAAAAAATCACATATTTCTCAACTGAACTGGAAACTTTATATAAGATCCTATGAACTTACACTCGCAGAAAGGAAATAAAACGTCACTTCCTTCTCGCTCTTCTGTGCTTTCCCACACACTCCTCCTTCCCTTGGGAAACACCTCTCCTCAGCCTCATCGCATTAACTCTGGTCATCTTAAAAACTCACTTTAAACACTTACTGGTTCCAAAATCTTTGCTTCTAATCCAGCATTTGGCATAGCATTATTAGATAATAATATATTTTCCCATCTAAACAAAGAGCTTCTTGACGGCAATGCCTGTATCTTTTATCTCTATATCCTCAAACCTTATGACATATTGTTGTGTATAAAGCAAGAATTTGCATGTAAAATATTTCTTTAGTTTCACATGTTTTACCAAAACATCAAGCTCCAACATACAACAAAAATTGCTATTAAGACTCATACTGTCCATTTTTCAAGGATTTTTCCAACATTTATTCACTTAAAATCCATTTGTATTTAATTTTCCCAGATTGTTAACTAAATAGATAATGAATTCAGACTGCTCAAACTAAATTAACAGAATTTCTATCTGTATTCTTAATAATTCCATAGTTTTTAGTGTTTAAAACTGCCATCCTGATTAAGTCAAGGCTCTACAAATTTAAGAGACATACTGGATAGTCCATAATACAGCTTCAATTGACAAAAAAGGTTTAGAATTTGCTACAATTCTGATTGAGAAAACTCTGCTCTTAATAACGACTTACTGACCTAAGCACTTGAATGATGACAAAAAGATGCAAAATCCTGAAAGGACCATCCTCTAGTTATTGAAAGACTACTCACTGCAAATTTCTAAAGACCTTCTGAATAGCAATGAATAACTGATGGTAGGAAGGAAAAATTATTATTCTGTAAGCTTAGAGATACTTCCAGTAATATTCATTTTAATGTCCCTACCACGGAGATAGAAGTCAGATTAGGCCAGGTGTAGTGGCTCACACCTGTAATCCTAGCATTTTGGGAGGCTGAGGTGGGAGGACCACCCAAGCTTGGGGAGGTTAAGGCTACCATGAGCTGTCACTGCACCACTGCGCTCCAGCCTGGGAGACAGAGTGAGACCCCATCTCAAAAAAAAAATAAATGAAAAAGAAAAAAAAAAGACTAATATTATTGGAAAGGAAAGATTTAAAGGAATTAGCACATATCCAACTCCAACTCTCCTACAGATATTTTAAGTTTCTGAGATCCATGAATTTACACATTAAACTTATCTGTTCAGTGGTTCCTAGGCAGGAGCATCTGGATTTTAAGGAATTTGTTGCTGTTGTTGATGTTGTTAGAGACAGGGTCTCATTATGTTGCCCAGGCTAGATTCAAACTCCTGTTCTCAAGCTATCCTCCCACCTCAGCCTCCCTAGCAGTTGGAACTACAGCCATGCACCACCATGCCTGGCTTCAAGGAAATATTTTTAAACATAGGTATCCAGGCTTTATTAGACTTAGTCTATCAAAACCTTCAGGGGCAGCCTAGACTTGTAGATCATTTAAAAAGTTTCCTCAGGTTACTGGGATGCACAATTCTGACAACTAGTGCAACACACAATTACTTCAGTCTCATCTCCCACCCACATGACAAAGTCCCTTTATCACTTAAGTATTTGGCCAAAAAGAGGAAAGAGTAGGAAAGAGACTCATTTGCTAAAAACACCACATAATTTTCCCAGGTACGAGTAGATCAGGGTCTAGTAAACTCAAAATCCAACTTGATCTTGTTACTTATAAGTGCCTTATGTCCCACCTTCCTATAAAGACATTCTAGATTTGAAAGCAGAGTTGAGACTCTAATTGGCCATTTCTATCAGAATAGGATAATAAGTCAGTTGATTACTTATTATTCCCTCTGCTCAAGGGTTTCCCACTACATCACCACCTATTCACTGCCAGTCTGGTTCCTCAGAGGCTTCCTAAAATTGATCTCTAGGGAGTTTACAACTCACTAACTCCCTTTCCCGAACTGAAAACTGTCTTTCTCTAAAACTGAAGAGATCCTTGTGTTACCATACAAAGGAAACAGATAAATGAACAACACCACAGACACACACACACACAAACACACACACACACACACACCCTCTTCATAGTTTTTTTCCTCCATTATCTAATTGAAAAATTGGCCTCAATATTTCTGATTGCTCTCTTTTTACCTTTTCATTTTTGCCTCATGAACAATCAGAAATATCTTAAGCCTTGCCACTGAGAGATACATCACTTCATGTATACTACTTTTTTTTTTTTAGGAACTTGCCAAAGCAGCAGGATTTCTATTCACTGAAATATAGTTTCATTTCTTGGAGTTTTAAACCTATTTCCAGGGCAAATTTTGTCATTTTACATTGATTAGGGGCAAAAAAAAAAAAAAAACCTGGGAGGGAAAAATTTAAAACAAAATAATTATTACCTTTTACAATTTTGGTGTTTTCAAAAAACAATTTACCACAAGTGCATTAAAAAAAACCGTACCCTCGAATGTTTCCTTAGAAGTAATAATATTTAGCATAAAATATTAGATAATAATTAAGTCATTTCAAAATATTTTCATTCAGGTTATGCTTGAGCTTCCAAATATGAAAAACTGACCCTTACACAGGTCAGTGCTCAAACAAATGCATTTCAGTATTTTGAAAATAAAACTGGTAGATCTATACCTTGTTTGCTGATTCAGTGTCGGCACCGCATAAAAGCAGTGCTCTGGCCAGTAATTTGTCTTCATTGTAGACCGCATAGTGTAGCGCGGTATTGCCATACACATCCGGAATGTTTGGATCAGTGCCATGTTCTAGTAACATTAATGCACATTCATCTTCTTGGCATTGTACGGCCTGCAAGTATGATAAAAAAACAAATTATAAGCCCTCAGAATTCAAAATAAACATTCCACAGCTTTCATCAACTAGTTATATTTACTTGAGGAAACTAATTTTTATTCTATGTACTGAAATCAAATCCATCTCACACTGATTAGCTGACTACTGCATACCTTTATTAGAGCTGTCCTCTTTTTGCTATCCAAGACATGAAGGTCACATTGTCTGTCCAACAGGAGTTTTACTACTTCTGGATTTCCATTGGCACAGGCCAAATGGAGAGCAGTCCTGTGAGAGTGAGAAGCCTTTTTAGGAAATTGTAGTCCACTATTTAAAGCTATATCAATGATTCATGTAATTGCAAACACTGAATAGCCTGCTATTCCTCTTCCTTCAAAGCAAACATTTAATTTTCCTGTGAAGAAAGCACGCTAATTATTACCTCCCATTACTCACCGTTTTAATGAAAGAGCAGCCAATTTGAAGAGAAAGATCATGGCCTTTAGATTCCACTCAACTTGGGATGGAATCCTACTTTAAGCTCTGTCCCTTCCTAGCTGTTGCTTAGCCTTTTTGTGTCTCAATTTCCTCAACAATAAAATGGGAATTAACTATTCTATTCATTTATGTATTTTCAGCTGTTAGTAAACAATTTGCAAAAATAGCACATGCACATTTTGATATCCGGAAAGGCAAGTCTTTTTCCATTCTGTTACAAAAAATTTATCACGATAATAAATGCCAGCATGTGTAATTTAAGAGTGCTAAAACTTTCCTATTTTTATTTGGCTTAGGTGAAAATAAGAAACAGAAAGAGCTCACATCTTAAGAAAAATGAATCTTCCTAGTCAAGGACACAAACCATCCTTCCACTTCAGTTTCCTTCCAAGGTTCCTCAGTAAAGAACAATATACATAGGGTACACTGATATAAAATGCATGTTAGATTTTATTTGAAGAATATTTAGCCCAGAAGTTGACATATTATGGGACTTAGCTCTCAATATACCTTTCTATAATGTAGATAACATTGTTTTAAAATGCTTACGTTAAAAATAATCTGCTGCATCAACTTAATTTTACAAGTTAAATCAGTTTGAAACAGTCAGTGTTCTATAAGGGAAATTATAACTGGATTGGAAATGAGCTAAAATTTTGGGTTCGTGTTGCTGCTCTTAAAGAGGCCTGCGCCCCGACCTCTGAGTTTTTCAAACTCTGGGCGGTGTGGGTCCTGCGGAGGAGAGAAATCCAGCCCCTGACCCCCCGCTGTGCCAGGAGAGCATGTCCCTACCCCAAGTCCCCACATCCCACCTCCTCCCAGCCCAGGCCAGGTTACCTCTTCTTTTTGTCCCTCTTGTTCACGCCGGGGCCCCTGAGCATGACGATGAGATCCGCTCTGGGGACTTTACCCCACCAGGCAGCTCTGTGGAGCTTGCCCAGATCTTCTCGACGGACGTGGTACCTTGGCTCCCTGAAGGCGCTGTCGTCGTGGTCTCCCCAAGCGCCCACGTTGTTCTTGCCACTCCCCCAGCAGCAGGGTAAGCAAAGGCAGTACCACTTGCCCATCTTGCTCCTGAGGCCAAAGGGCTTCTTCAAAGGGGGAGCAGACGGCTTTGGAGAAACCTCAGCCCCCATCCGCTTCCACCAGCCCGAGGAGCCGGGTAATAGCTAGCCAATCGCCTCTGCCAACAAGTTTCACCAACAAGCAGGAAACTCCAAGTTTCCAATCTGTCAGAGGAGAAAGGACAAGGCCAGGCAAAACCTTGCCAAGCCCAGGGGGAGAGGCCAAGACCAGCGAGGTTTGAAAGGCCACACCCACCCAGGGGAATCCCCGCCCACCCCCAGGGAAATCCCCGCCCACCCAGGGAAAGGCCAATCCCCCAAGGAAACACCCAGCCCAGCAGGGGAATTCCAAGCCCAGTCTAGAAAATGCCAATCCCAGCAAAGAAACGCTAGGGGAGAAAATGCCAATCCACTGGAGGACGACCAAGCCAAGCGACCAACGCCAAGCCAAGCGACCAACGCCAAGCCAAGCGACGAACGCCAAGACAAGCCGTTACAGACGCATGCATGGAACGCCAACACGCGTGTGTTGCATGTACCATAGTGCGCTTGTGGCGTGCGCGTGTGGCGTGCCCGTGCAGCAGGCACGCAAGCCAGCCGTTACACACGCGTGGATACACGCGCGTGAGGCGTGCGCGTGAGACGTGCGCACCTCAGGCGGCGTCTCTGCACGTGGCACAGTGGCCGACATGTGTCACCGCATGTGCAAGTTCTGGCGCCACAAACGTCAGTGGCGGCCTTGTGTTCCCACCAAATTGTGCGGGAGTTGGTCAAGCTCTCAAGCCATTGAGAAGGAGAGGCAGCTACTGGGAAAAAGCCTCTAGAAGCAGGACCAGGACTAGAGCGCCAGGAACTTGAGGACTCTGACAGTCTCCTCTGAAGAAAGCCCCCAAGGCAGTTGTGACGGTGCTGTTGTGGGGGTGGGGCGTGGCAGCTGCAGCTGGGAGCTCGGGCTGTCGGAGCTCGCTACAGATGGCCTCAAAATCAATCATAGAACAGGCCAGGCGCGGTGGCTCACACCTGCAATCCTAGCACTTCCGGAGGCCGAGGCACGGGGGTACTGCCTGAGCTTAGGAGTTGGAGACCAGCCTGGCAACACGGTGAAACCCGAAACCCCGCCTCTGCTAAAAGTACAAAAAATTAGCCGGATGCGGTGGTGGGTGCCTGCATCCCAACCTCAGGAGAGGCTGAGGCAGGAGAAATGCTTGAACCTGGAAGGCGGAGGTTGCAGTGAGCCGGTGGCGCCACTGCACTCCAGCCTGGGCAACAGAGCGAAACTCCACCTCCAAAAAAAAAATCACGGAACACAAGCCACCCACAAAGCCCAGCGCCTGCCCGACGTGCCTTCCCACCCACTCCTCCTTGGTCCACCCCCAGAATATGGGACCATCAGTGACGTGGCACTCGGGGGCCACAGGTTTGGGGCTGGGTGGCCAGCTCCCAGCCGGTGCCCCTACATGGTGTCTAAGCCAGGGCCAACCGCTGTGGGGCTTCTGGCAGAGGCTCCACTCCCCTGGCATGCAATAGGGGCACGGGGTGTGGGTGGCTGTCTCCAGGCTGGCAGGTGGGGCTTGGAGGAGCACCTATCACTGAGGGCAAGATGCAAAAAGGAGGCCCTGTGTGCAGATCCTGTGACCAGGATGCTGCAAGCCCTGGGAAGCCAGACTGAAGCAACCCTGGCAGCAGAGTTGAGCTGGATCCAGGCAGTGATCCAGCTGTGACAAACACAAGTGGGAGCAGGCAGACACGTGGGCAGGGGCCTGGCTGACGGGGGTGCTCACCAGGGGGCACCTACCCATCTGCCCAGGTGGTCTTGCAAGTCTCAGCACTTATTAGGCACCTGATTATGGTAGACATCTGAACAAAGCCCCAAGCTGCCCTGGGGAATATGACAGGGCAATAGATCAGGAAGGACAGTCAGGGTGCCTGGCATGAATGAGGAGGGACCAAAGAAATGCCAGACCCTTCCCACCAGCTATGGGTCTTGGGTCATCTGTATGGGGGCACTCTCAGTGGGTAGACAACCCAGAGGTCCCACAAGCCTTGAGCTGCATCCTAACCTTCCTGAGTCCAGCCCACCCATGTCCCGGGCCCAGGGGTACTTTGAGCTCTGAATTGAGATAAGGAGGGGCCAGGTGGCACTCCTCCTATGTCCCAGGATCTGGTCAAGAAGGTGGTGCCCTGTCACTGCCTGGCTCCATCTGGTCGCAGTAAAACAAGAAGGGCAGGAAGCCCACAGTACCCACCCTCTGGGCCACCAACACCCAGGTCCACAGTGTGGCCAACTGAGTCAGAACCACCTGCTTTGGGGGCAAGAGCATGAAGGCTCACACAGGACCAGCATGGTGGAACAGTAGAGGTGGGCAGGATTGCTGTGTGGAACCAAAGGGCCCCTCTCTGGAGACTTGGACATAACCTCGCCATCTTAAAAGAACCTTTTATTGTTGGGCATGGTGGCTCATGTCTGTAATCCTTGCACTTTGGGAGGCTGAGGTGGGTGTCATGAGGTCAGGAGTTTGAGACCAGCCTGGCCAAGATAGTGAAACCCCATCTGTATAAAAATATAAAAATTAGCCAAGCGTGGTGGCGCATGCCTATCATCCCAGCTACATGGGAGGCTGAGGCAGGAGAATCGCATGTACCCCTGAGGTGGAGGTTGTGGTGAGCCGAGGTTATGCCACTGCACTCCAGCCTGAGCAACAGAGCAAGACTCCATCCCTCCCACCCAAAAAAGAATCTTTTATTGACACCCACAACATTTTACCTATTTATAGGATACAGGTGAGTGTTTGTTACACGGAGTGAATGTGTATTCTGGCTACTTCGAAATATTGTTTTGCTATCAGACATTACAGCTTATTTCTTCTAACTGTATGTTTGCACCTAATAGCCAACTTCTCTTCTTTCTCCCTTCCACACACCCAGTCTTCATAGCCTCTGGTATCTGCCATTGTATTCTCTGTGTCCATGAGATGAAATTTTTTTTAGCTCCCACATGTGAGGACCGTTGGTATGTGTCTTTCTGTGCCTGGCTTATTTCACTTAACATAATGCCTTCCAGATCTATCCATGTTTCTACAAATGACATGATTTTATTATTTTTTTATTGCCAAATAGTACTCTATTGTGTTCATTTCATACATTTTATTTAGCTCTTCATTTGTGATAGATACTTGGGTTGATTCCATATCTTTGCTATTGTAAACAGTGCTATGATAAACATGTGAATGCAGACATCCCTGTGCTATGTTGATTTTTTTAAGACAGTCTCACTCTGTTGCTTAGCCTGGAGTTCAGTGGCACAATCTTGGCTCACCAAAAACTCCACTTCCTGGGTTCAAGTGATTCTCCTGCCTCAGCCTCCCCAAGTAGCTGAGATTACAAGCATGTGCCACAATGCCCAGCTAATTATTTTTTGTATTTTTAGTAGAGACAGAATTTCGCCATGTTAGCCAGACTGGTCTCAAGCTCCTCACCTCAAGTGATCCACCTGCCTCAGCCTCCAAAAGTGCTGGGTTACAGGTATGAGCCACCACACCCAGCCTGAACTCTTTCCTTTGAATAAATACCCAGTAGTAGGATTGCTGGACCATAAGGTAGTTCTATTTTTCATTTTTTAGAATTCTCCATACTGATTTCCATCATGGTTGTACTGATTTGTGCTCCTACTGACAGTGTAACAGAGTTTCTATTTCTCTTCATTCTCACCAGTATCTGTTACTTTTCATCTTTTTAATAATAGCCATTCCAACAGAGGTGAGATGATATCTCATTGTGGTTTTTTTTTTTTTTAATTTTTTATTGGATTATAGGTTTTGGGGTACATGAGCAGAGCATGCAAGACAGTTGCGTAGGTACACACATGGCAGTGTGCTTTGCTCAGTCTCATTGTGGTTTTGATTTGCATCCTGATCAATAATGTTGAGCATTTTCTCATATACCTGTTAGCCATTTGCATGTCTTTTGAGACATGTCTATTCCTGTTCTTTGCCCATTTTTAATGGGATTGTTTCATTACTTTTGGGAAATTTGAGTTCCTTGTATTACTCTGCATATTAGTCCCTGGTCAGATGAGTACTTTGAAGTTATTTTCTCCCATTCAAGGATCTGTCTCTTGACTGTGTTGTTTCTTTTGCTGTGCAGAAGCTATATTCCACTTATCTATTTTTGCTTGTGTTGCCTGTGCTTTTGAGATATCAGCCATAAATTATTTGCCTAAACCAATGGCCTGAAGCATTTTTAGTATGTTTTTTCTAGTTTCATAGTTTCAGATCTTACATTTAAGTCTTTAATCTATCTTGAGTTGGCATCTATTTTCTACCTGAGAAATGGAAGTTCAGAATGATTTTGCTGAGATAGTAAGAAGACTGTGTATAACTAGAGATAATGGTCAGGAGAAATCCATTGTATATGAATAAGGGGGCTTTGTTTAGGTTTTCTATTTTTTGTTTTTTGAGATGGAGTCTCACTCTGTCACCCAGGCTGGAGTGCAGTGGTGCGATCTCAGCTCACTGCAACCTCCTCCTCCCGGGTTCAAGTGATTCTCTCCTGCCTCAGCCTCCCAAGTAGCTGGTACTACAAGCACATGCCACCATTCCCAGCTAATTTTTGTATTTTTAGTAGAGATGGGGTTTCACCATGTTGGCCAGATGGTTTCAATCTCTTAACCTCATGATCCTCCTGCCTTGGCCTCCCAAAGTGCTGGGATTACACGTGGGAGCCACCATGACCAGCCAATAAGGGGACATTCTTGGTCTTCTGAGAAGAGTGAAAGAAGGTTATGGGAGGGCTTGGTTCTGGAAACAAAGTTGCAGTTAGTTAAGACAAACACATTCTTGTGTTCTATACTACAGCTGGGTAACTCTGGTTAACAACAAAAAAAGAATTAACAAAAAAAAAGCTAGAAGGGAGCAATCTGAATGTTCTCACAACAGAGAAATAATAGCTTCATGAATGAACTGATATCCGAAGTACCTGATTTGATCATTACTTAAACTATATGTGTATCAAAATGTCCCAGAGCAAAGAGAAGTCCCAGCATATCCTCTAATTATATACTTTATTGTACACAGAAATTCAAGAAATGTGAATACACAATGCTAATGTTCATATGTAACCACAAATAGGCCTGAATATCTAAGAAATTCTGAGAAATATAAACCAAGTTGGAGGATTCACAATTCCTGATATCAAAATGGCAAAGCTGCAGGTATCTAAAATACATGCTACTGTGACATGAAATGACACTGCTGTGCTCCAGCCTGGATGGGAGAATGACACTCTGTCTCAAAAGTATATATATAGTGAGAAAATTTCAAGGAATCATGAGTGATAACTGGTTGTTACCAAATATGTGCACAGAAAAAAAATACTAGGTAGCATAAAAATACATATCCAAATTAATATTGTGCAGAGACCTTGAATAGACATCTCAGCAAAGATGATAAAAAATAGGCCAATAGGTAAGAGAAAAGATCCTCAACATCATCATTCATCAGAAAAAAACATACTTCAAAACCACATTCAGGTCAGTTGTGGTGATTCACACCTGTAATCCCAGCACTTTGGGAGGCTGA